TGTTGGATGATGTGGAGAGTCCAGCTGCCCCAATGGACTGCAGGGTGGCCACCAGGCCTCCCGCCGCAACCCCACCCCCGTTGGCAATGGCTGCGGCCGACATCATTTTCGCGGCCACGGAGGAAACTGCGATCCCGGTCGCGGTGAAGCCCGCAGTGGTCAGCGCGAAAGGCACAGCGCACACTGCCAGAGCTCCTCCAATGGCGGCTCCCAGCAGGGTAGTCATGGCGAAGGCTCAGGCGCGCAGCTCTAGGATGCAGCCCTGCCGGGTGGTGGTTGCAGTCTTCTCTGTTTTGTTTTCTTGCTGTAAGAAGTTACTGCTATAAATTTCCTCCTGAGGAGTGCTTTCATTGCATGCAGTAGACACCAGTAAGTTGTATTTGCAGTTTTGTTTGTTTGTAAATGTTGTTTAATTTCTTCTTTATTTTCATCTGTGACTCATTGGATGTTTAGGAGGGTGTTAATTTCCACATGTTTATGGAATTTTTGTAGTTTCTATTGTACTGTAATTTTTTATTTAATTGCACTGTGGCTAGATAGTATGTATGGGATAATTTCAATTCCTTTGCATTTACTTAAGCATGTTCTTTTGCCTAGTATATGATCTATTTTAGAGAACATCACATGAGAAGCTGAGAGAATGGATATTGTGATGTTGTTGGGTGAAACACTCAGTAGAGGTCTACTAAATTCATTTGTTCACAAGTTTGGTTCAGGTCTGTTATTTCTTTGATGATTTTTTGTGTACTTGATGCATTTCTTTTTAACAATGAGATGTTAAGTTTCCCTGTTACAATTGTGTTATTTCTCATTTAATTTTTCATGTGTCTGTTCATATTTGTCTTATGTAGTTGGGTGCTTCTGTATTTGGCGCATATATATTTATGATTGTTATCTCTTCCTCTTGTAATTTTCTCCAACAAGTGTGTAGCAACCTTCTTTATTTCTTTTGATCATTGTTGGTTCAAAGTTCACATTATCATTGAACAGAATAGTGAATATGATAAAAAAGAACCAATATTAAGTCTATCAGCATTATATTACATCAGAGCCATAACATTTCACCCCTATTTTCCCCAAAGACTCGTGTACATCTCTTTATGCAAAAGATGCATCTCTTTTTGACAATGAGATGTTAAACATCTGCAGGAGTTTCCAAAGTCCTAACAGTTTCAGTGTTGCTGGAAAGTCCAAGTTCCAAGTCTCTTCTAAGATTTAAGGGAAACTCAGCTTCAAGCATCTTTACAAATGAAAAATTATGCTCTTCTAACATTCAGTGACACAAGATAAACATTTGCATTCCCAGGTTACAAATGGGAATACAAGGACTGGGACCAAAGCAAGTCCAATATCCAGCAGGTCAAAACATTAAGTTCTGTAGTTCCATTTCCAGCATCTGAGGCAAGCTGTGGCAAATTGTGAGTTCCAAAAGGCTTGTTCTACCCCTATGGCACTTCTGGTGGTTACAGCTCCCACAGTTTCTCTCTTGGGCGGGGACTTTGCTCTCTCCTTGTAGATTTTCTTAGATGATCCACGTTCTTAGCTTCTTCAAACTTCTGAGGTCTCCACTATCCCTCTGGCTTCATCAGCACAGCTTCACATATTACCCCCTCGAGGACACTTGTGGCCTTCAACGAACACTGCCTGCCCTTCCAGGCCTTCTGAAATTGAGGTGGCAACCTTCTTTACCTCACAAATCCTGGAATCTCTGTGTGTCTGCAGCTTTGTGGGATGATGCCAAGGTCTGCATAAGCTGGAGCAGTAGCCAGGCTTCTTTATCTCTTGGCTATAGGGTTGAATACCCTGGATCATTGCACATGTTGAATTCAATACTCAGGAACAAATTTTCTGTGTCACTGTCATGTTTTGTGACATGGAACATGGTGCTCTGTGGGTTTCTCCTCAAAACAGTCTTTCACTTTTGCCATTTTGAGGTTGCAGTGGATGGAGACTTGCTGCTTCTTGTGATGCTCTCCGGCCATCTTTGCTATTCTCTGGTTCCTTCTTAGCAGGCGGTCTCCTCAGCTGTGTCTTTGTAGTGTATAGCTTTACTGGACCTTCCTTTCTGGTCAAACTCACATTTTAATTCATCCTGATGGGGTCTTTGCTCTTGATTCCCAATATAGATCTGGCTAAAAGCCCCCAACAATAGTCTTGCCACAGACCCAACTTTTTTTATTCTTCTGTATTTTTTTCTATAATTTTATTGATAAACAAATAGCAATGAGACAGTTTCAAATCAAATTGGTAGGACAGTTTCAATAATTAACACATTGCATACATTCTTCCT